ATACTTTGTAACTGTTTTTATGTAAATAGTAAATTACCCAGAAAAGAGTTAAAACCTCTGTTGCATACCGTGAGTTCGCAAAAACTGCAGTGTATATTTTATAACTTAGTTATCCACATTAATYACTACACTAAATTTATTTTAGAATTATGTCTTCGGAAGATTGATGATATAATAGTCTAATTTGATGTCCTATACACAGAAATCAAAAAATTGTATACGGTATAATATGGGTAATTTAATCATAGAGAACCTTGTATGCGGACACACGATTTAGGTATATTAAAATATTTAGTTTAATAACGCCGTCTTAAGCTTACAAGCAATCTGCCGTATATTAGTCAGTACCTTATATATGGCTATATGGGATACTTACCAACAAAAGTTCGGTCTGCTTGTCGATGGCCACGACTGCAAGATCCAAGTCTAGAAGTCTCTTAGTGATCGCCATGCCTATACCTCCGTTGGCGCCAGTCACGAACGCCACTTTTCCTTTCCAGCGGTTCATATTGGTGGTCATTATATATTATTGTTGAATTACAAAAATAGAAAATGTATTTTAAAATTTCGACTGTGGACGATGTTCTTTGCCCGATATCACTCAATACTGTTTATGGTATACTTATGTAGTATACCTACAGTTATTATCACTATTCATGTAAGTTAGTAYGTCCATTGGCGCGGGCACGCACATCAGCGACTGCTTCATCCAYGAGTGCCTGATTACGACTGCCACCGGTTCGGGATTTGACGCGGCGCCGCGATTTCTTGCTAAATAGCAATATAATATATATTATGGTAACGTCGACCGACATCCTCGTAATTTTTCGTTCACGGCCGGCGGGGTCACCGCATCTGGAAAAGAAAGAAGAAATTTAAAATTAAAATTTACGCAAAGAGCTAGGGAAAAAAGTTTATGAAAGAAATTGGTTCCAACTAATACATAATAAAAGTGGATATATAGGTATACATAAATTGGTATATTGTCGTATTGACCATAATATAAAGTTTAAATACATATTTTTTTTTTTTTTAGGTTGGACACTCCTGATAGTTGATTTAAACTGTAAATATTATTGTATTATATTTATATGGTTATCCCGTATGTCGTAGTATAGGTATGTAATTATATTACGCGTAATGACGAGAGAATGTATATCGACGATAATATTATTATACGAGTATGTRTGTGGTGTACACTGTGTACAGTATTTATTTTATGATTAGTGGTTCCATACGCGTATTTCCACATTATATGCCTTGTTACTCCGTAGTCATAATTCATAAAGGTATATGCAAAGTATATTCTTGGGTAGTTGGATGACTTCATATATATATATATATATAGTACTATTATGGAACACTCCCGAAAATTTTGATATAAGAAGACAATTTATAAGATTTAACACATTTATTGAATGGGTTAACTATTCTGTAATAAAATAATAGTGCCATATTGTCGAGTCATTCGACATCCACAAATTATTATATTAAGTATATATATATATATAATGTATGTATAGTGTAGTGTACATATTATGATGATGCAGCAATTGCAATTGATAAAATATTGGTTTTGAATAATATATATTGTTGCAAGCCAACGAAAACCAGGTTTATCAAGATTTGTTCGATTAAAAAACTTGCACATGTTACTTTATATAATAATATAGCTATTTATTAATTTACAMWTACATATTTTATCCGTTGACCGTTTTTCAGGATCCTTATTATATTATAACCCCTTTGTCTTCTTTCTTGGACTTTTAGTTCACCTTCCTGTAGTAACGCCTGTAACGGCATTAAGGACGGCAGGACGGGCCTGGGTAGTCCATGATGCCCTGCACCTTGTTTCTTATATACTCGTAATATGTATTTTTGATATCTTTAACAAGATTTATAGATTCTATAGTATGGTGTTGTCTTAWTTTTTTATGTGGCTGTGTGAGTGGAGCCGTTTAATATTTAAATTATATGTAGTATTGCATAATTTCAATATATATAAACATAATAATATATCAATAATTTAAGTACTATGACGGTCTGTTATAACTTCTATAATCCTACCAAATGTAATACTTAGAATTAAAATGCGATTTTAGTTTATTTATAGATATAACAATATCTATTATAGGCATGATGTAATAATTGTATATTAGAGAGTCTAAAAAGTGTGGCATATATAAAAAAAATCTACTTACAGTTATTTTAATTTTTAATCCAAACATGAAAGAATTAATATTCACTTCGATACAATCGATTCACTTATCCAGTTAGTTGTCAACCAACTACAAAATTGTCAGAAAGTATAGCTCGGTGTTCGTTTTTATAAATTGAATGTAAGAAAATGCTATTTCATACAAACGGGTTAATCCGAAATATGTATGTAACTGTGTCTACTTAATTTATTATAATAAGTTCTTACAAAATATGATCGACTTAAAAATCAAAGATCGACTATTTCATAAAATAGCCCAGTGTTTCCCAAAGGATGTGCCGTTAAATTTGAAAAGTTTGCTGCCAGAACTTGAACTTTTTTATGAAAAAAATACAAAATAATTATATTAATTAGATAATATTTATTCAAAGTGTGCAGTGACTTATAATATATAATTTAATAATATAATAACGTGCTGCGATGGAAAAAGTTTGGGAACTACTGCAGGTAGGTAGGTTAGCCTATAATAGAGCATAAGTAATGTATCTATAATCTATATTGATGTTATACAGTGTAGACGTGTAGTACAGTAGTACAATATTATAATACGAAAGGCCGAACTTATTTTTCTCTTAATACAATAAATAAAATAATAATAAAATTAAAAAATTAAAAAA